GGTGCACTCTAGGATTCTCTAGTGCCAGGAAAATGGCACTATTTTGCCACAAGATGTTCTTTAATCCTTTATTAACGTAACCTCATTTTAAAAGGACGGTGCTGGGTATCAGTGTTGAACTCTAGTCTAAACAATGAGATGTTTTCAGATCTCCTTCTAGATCTGTTAGACTTATCTTCATCAAGTACTCAATTTAAAATATCTATCTTTTGTGGGATTTATGAAGTCAGGACTTTAACTTAATCTACGAGTCCTCCTTGCCCATGATACTGATTTCCACTTTACGTAGATCCAATTTTAAGCTATTTTATATTTACCGAATGATAAGCAATATGCAGTAACAGTATACAAGATAAGCACTGCTGTGGTGCTAATCCGACTGGCTGATTTATTTATTGCTTTATTTATCACTTATAATATAAAAAAATGTCATTCATACTATGAAACAGGGGCAAACGTCATGGACTACATCTCCCCTGATGCATTACTAGTTTTATGGATGTAAGAGCATTATGGGCGATGTAGTCCAGGACAGCTAGAGTGCCAAAGGTTGCATGTCCCTGCTATAGAAGACCACAACTGGATCGATGTCAGCCTACCACTTATAACAGTATTGTACAGCGCTACGGAATGTGATGGCGCTATATAAATAATAAAATAATAATAATTATAATGATATTGCTATTTTATATAACAATGAAACGTATGGTCGAATCACAGAGTCACAGCAGAGGTTGAGAGCTCCACAAACCCGCTATTTTCATTTTTATTTTGTGTCTATTTTTCTAATTTATATAACAATTGCTATAAAAGATAAAATGTTTAAAGAACGTCTTCCTGTATTATTTAGATTATTGAATGATTCATTCACTCAATAACTTGGAGAATTGTCACGGTATTCCACATTTCAAGTGGAAAAGAGCTTTTCGATTACGGCTACTTTGGCCTTCCATTTGCAGTTTCCTTGTCAGTTCCCCAAAATCCCTGGGTAAAATGATGTCTCCTGTTTCTCTGCAGTCTGGGCTTGGGTAGGTTTGGATGGCTGCATGTAGGATCTTATTTCTGAAATTCGTTTCTTGATTTATTTCTAAAAAGTCTATTTAGATGTGTTTCTCTTTTTTGCCTGCGACCATCACATGGACACATGCTCCCCCTTCTTTGTGAAACGAGTGTCACTGATCACTGAGAACTCTGTTGAGAACCTTATCTACCTGAAAAAGAGGAGAAAGTAAACCAAAAAAGAAAGACAAACAGACACAATATATTCGGAGCAGAGGGAGGAAGTATCCCTCACTGTCCTGTAGGTACGGAATGGCTCACTGTGTCAATGACCCTTATGAAAGAGCTGAACATGGCAGGTGAAGGTTCAGAAACACATTGAGTATTACTAAACTTTCTTTCTGATTGTTTTTGGGATTTTTCACATTCCATCAGATTTTATTTTTTTTGCCCTTCTAAGAATTGATCAAACCCCTTTAAAGACCCATTTTCCCAAAATGTAATGGATACATTAATAATGCCGATCGACTGAAAGAGTAACCCTTGGAAGCAGCCACAAAATGAACCAATTTTCTATCCATTAATGAATAAAATGATTGATATGTGAATTATTTCTTAACTAGAGCAATGATTTATAAGGTTTGTAAGGTTTGTTAAGATTACTATAATTATATTTATTGGATTAAAAGTAATGGAAATTACAATGAGTTTGGTTTTCAGTGATTGTATCTTTAATTATGTGATTCATTGCGTACACTAACGAAGGTGGTTCCGATTTTGCTTCATGTTATCCTGATTGTCTTTTTGTGTCATTCAGTAACGTATCACCTTAATAGAACAATATAGCATTAGGAATACAAACCACTGAGTTTAGTGGTCCTCACAGCCATAACATTAATTCCCCCAAAAATATTAACTTGCCATTTTTCAGTGCCATGATGCCCTCGGAGCTGCTCACCTCTTCTCCTGCTGCAATGTCAGACAAGGCTTTCTCCGGCAAGGGTGCGAGCTGATTGGCAACCTGATGCACATGCGCAGCGACACCACACACGCATCCAAACTACCCTATAGGAGAGCATTGAATTTAATGCTGTCCTATAAGCTGCAATTGATGATATTCAAGGTCGAACGTCACGTGACCTAGTTTAACTGGGTCAGAGCAGCAGAAGTGGCTCTAGTGGCTGTCAGTATGCCAGCCACTGGAGACATGTTTAATCATTCAAGTTAAACATTGCCGTTTTTGAAAAATGCCAGTGTTTTAACATCAAGGGTTAAAATATCTGGAAACCTATTCTCTTACAACTGATGGTACCATTCGAACTATTGACCGTACATTCCATGTGACTCTTCTAATTCATGTTTCCCTCAAAAACACATCACTCATATTTTAAGTGATATTGCCTTTTTTGTAAACTATTTAAACACTGTATCCAAAAACAAATGGTAAGATTTGTTTTAATCAGTTTGCTTTATTACTTTCTGACGTAGATAGAGATTTTGAATGACATTATATACAGAGATTCTAAAAAGAATATAAACACGTTTTTTATTTTTGAACATGAACCTTGGATATGGCATTTTCCCAAATAAACTGTATAAAACCAAGAGGCCATTAAGCCAGCTGTGTGCTGCTTGTGTATGGTGTAGCTTTTAGGGTTATGTGAGGCCCCAACACTTCTCAAAGGTGAAGAGTAAATTTAGATATCAGAATAAGGGATGTGGAAGGCTTACTTAGCCATCGTCTACAGTCATGATATTCAGGTCCTGAGGGAGAACGAAACCTCCATTAAAGAAAAGGAGCAATAATCATCTTGCAGCTGTACTGGAGGAAGCCAAAATTCTGTGTTTGTACCATTAAGTACGCTGATCCTAAGCCACACATAAATAAGTCAGAGGAAGTACAGAACTGGCCGATGTCTCCTAACAAAAAGTCAATGAGTTGCTATGGTAGATCCATGGCCAACTGTGCCTCCGTTTTGGCTCAGATAACTGATTTCACTAAAGGTAATAGGTCAGTAATGATAAAGTGGACTCCTGACAGGGAGATGCCTTTCCAAAAACTCGTAGACTCTTTGTTAATAGTCCATGTTGATCATGCCTCATTTTTAGAAAGGGTTTCCTAGTACAAACAGAACTCTCTAAAGTAAGATTAGGAGCAGTGCTTTCCCAAATTCTAAATCATGAGGAACAGCCTGTGCTCCACTTAAAGGGTCAGTATTTCCTTAATATAAATGTGTTTATATGAAAAAGTACACTGTGACAAGTTCAAATATGTGGGTAAAGGTTATGGGAGAAAGAAAGAGAAAGAGAAAGAGAAAGAGAGAGAGAAAAGGAGAGAGAGAGAGAGAGAGAGAGAGAGAGAGAGAGAGAGAGAGAGAGAGAGAGAGAGAGAGAGAGAGAGAGAAAGAGAAAGAGAAAAGGAGAGAGAGAAAGAGAGAGAGAGAAAGAAAGAGAAAAGGAGAGAGAGAAAGAGAGAGAGAGAAAGAGAGAGAGAGAGAAAATGAGAGAGAGAAAGAGAGAGAAAGGAGAGAGAAAATGAGACAGAGAAAGAGAAAGAGAAAGGGAGATAGAGAAAGAGAGAGAAAATGAGAAAGAGAAAGAGAGAGAAAAGGAGAGAGAGAAAGAGAGAGAAAGGAGAGAGAAAAGGAGATAGAGAAAAAGAAAATGAGAAAGAGCGAGAAAAGGAGAGAGAGAAAGAGAGAAAGAGACAGAGAGAAAGAGAGAAAAAAAGAGAGAAAGAGAGAGAAAAGGAGAGAGAGAAAGAGAGAGAGAAAGAGAGAGAGAAAAAGAGAGAGAGAAAGAGAGAGAGAGAGAGAAAACGAGAGAGAGAAAGAGAGAGAGAAAAGGAGAAAGAGAGAGAGAGAAAAGGAGACAGAGAAAGAGAAAATGAGAAAGAGAGAGAAAAGGAGAGAGAGAGAAAGAGAGAAAGAGAAAAAAGGAGAGAAAGAGAGAGAAAAGGAGAGATAGAAAGAGAGAGAGAGAAAGAGAGAGAAAAGGAGAGCGAGGAAGATAGAGAGAAAAGGGGAGAGAGAAAGAGAGAGAGAGAGAGAAAAGGAGAGAGAGAAAGAGAGAGAGAAAGAGAGAGAAAAGGAGAGAGAGAAAGAGAGAGAAAATGAGCAAGAAAAAAAAGAGAGAGAGAAAGAACGGGATTGTTGTGGTTGAAATTAAAGATCTGATTGGCTGCCCGGAGGCTTCACCGTATCAGAAACCAGCTTGATCTCAGATCTTGGTGATCGGCCACATGATTTACACAGAGGGTTTGCTAGTTAGCTGGACACGGCACAATCCCACAAAGTACCACCAGGCGTGTTCTAAGATTGAAAAATATATTTCTGAATATCTGAATGATCTCTTTTAAAGAGAACAACATTAAAACCTATGTTATTGTTTGTATTTATTGCTTTTACATCTGAGAATACATTGTGTAAAGCTGCATCAATGTTTCATCTCGTAGAAAACCAAAATATTGTGAGAACAAAGGAAGTTGCTAATAAATTGTGTTTGTAACAAGCCCAGGATTTGTGTCAGTGTAGCAGGAAGAGGGACATTGTCTATCTTTTTTTCCTAAACAGGTTATTTTTCCCTTCCTACCCTGGATGGGGACGGGTTTCAGCTTCCCTGGAGTAGTTACTGGCCTGCGTCTCCCAGCGTACTCACAGGCATTAGCCAACATTAAATGTACTTAGTCAGAGAACAAAGATTATATACAATTTCTTGTGTGCTCATCAAACATATAATAGACAATCAGACAATGCCCTCTTTCCACCCAGGTTGTCCCCTGATCGAGCCCTTAGATTGCTGATCACCTGTTTTGATAATGCTGCGCAGGATTTGCATCACTTCCAATATTTCTAATGGCTGAAAGGTAGCTGCCAAAAGCAGGGTATCACAAGTACATTTCAAACCTGTCAGCATGACTGGAAAATGCTCTGGAAAAAGGGCTGTGGAGGAAAAATGTTGGCGAGAGGTCCAAGAGGCCAGAACCCTTCACACCAAACCGGATAGCATAAATATACACAAATTCAAAATGTAGAACAGTCTTAAATTGGTCATGACGAGGGGGGCAGCAAGAATTAGCCATGTTATATCCTACTTTGGTCTTGATACTATTGCAGTCAGATTATTATTAGTAAAAAGGTGGCACCCTCAGTGCCACCAGGTATGCGGGTGACCACGTTATTATCCTGCTGCTGACCACGTTATTATCCTGCTAACTATGATATTATCCTGCTGACCACATTATTATCCCTCTGATCACTGTATTATCCTGCTGACCACGTTATTATCCTGCTAATTACGATATTATCCTGCTGACCACGATGTTATCCTGCTGACCACGTTATTATCCTGCCGACCACAATGTTATGCTGCTGACCACGATGTTATCCTGCTGACCACGTTATTATCCTGCTGACCACAATGTTATGCTGCTAACCACGATGTTATCCTGCTGACCACGTTATTATCCTGCTGATCACAATGTTATGCCGCTGACCACGGTAATCTGCTGCTGACCACGATATTATCCTGCTGACCACTATATTTTGCTGCAGACCACGTTATTATCCTGCTGACCATGGTATTCTGCTGCTGACCACGTTATTATCCTGCTGCTGACCATGATATTATGCTGCTGACCACGTTATTATCCTGCTGACCACGTTATTATCCTGCTGACCACGTTATTATCCTGCTGACCACGATATTATCCTGCTAACCACAGTGTTATGCTGCTGACCACGATATTATCCTGCTGACCACGTTAATTTCCTGCTGACCACGTTATTATCCTGCTGACCACGATATTATCCTGCTGACCACGTTAATTTCCTGCTGACCATGGTGTTCTGCTGCTGATCACGTTATTATCCTGCTGACCACATTATTCTGTTGCTGACCACAATATTATCCTGCTGACCACGATATTATGCTGCTGACCACATTTTATCCTGCTGACCATGATATTATCCTGCTGACCATGATATTATCTTGCTGACCACAGTATTCTGCTGCTGACCACATTATTATCCTGCTGACCACGTTTTTATGCTGCTGACCACGATATTATCCTGCTGACCACGTTATTATCCTGCTGACTACAATTTTCTGCTTCTGACCATGTTAATTTCCTGCTGACCATGAAATTATGCTGCTGACACAATATAATCCTGCTGACCACGTTATTATCCTGCTGAGCATGTTATTATCCTGCTGAGCATGTTATTATCCTGCTGACCACGATATTATTCTGCTGACCACTATATTATCCTGCTGACCATGATATTCTGCTGCTGACCATGATATTCTGCTGCTGACCATGATATTATCCTGCTGACCATGATATTCTGCTGCTTATCACATTATTATCCTGCTGACCACATTATTCTGTTGCTGAGCACAATATTATCCTGCTGCTGACCACGATATAATGCTGCTGACCATGATATTCTGCTGCTGACCATGATATTCTGCTGCTGACCACATTATTATCCTGTTGACCACAAAATGATGCTGCTGACCACGTTATTATCCTGCTGACCACAATGTTCTGCTGCTGACCACATTATTATCCTGCTGACCACAATACTCTGCTGCTGACCATGATATTATGCTGCTGACCATGTTATTATTCTGCTGACCACGATATTCTGCTGCTGACCACGTTAATATCCTGCTGCTGACTACGATATTATCCTTCTGACCACGATATTCTGCTGCTGACCACGTTATTCTGCTGCTGACCACATTATTATCCTGTTGACCACAATATTATGCTGCTGACCACGTTATTATCCTGCTGACTACAATATTCTGCTGCTGACCATGTTAATTTCCTGCTGTGCATGATATTATCCTACTGACTACGATATTATCCTTCTGACCACGTTATTCTGCTGCTGACCACATTATTATCCTGTTGTCCACAATATTATGCTGCTGACCACGTTATTATCCTGCTGACTACAATATTCTGCTTCTGATCACGATATTCTGCTGCTGACCACGTTAATTTCCTGCTGAGCATGATATTCTGCTGCTGACCACGTTATTATCCTGTTGACCACTAAAAAATATGCTGATGACCACGATATTATCCTGTAGACACGATATAATCCTGCTGACCACGATATTATGCTGCTGAGTACATTATTATCCTGCTGACCACGTTATTTGCTGCTGACCACGTTATTCTGTTGCTGACCACGATATTATCCTGCTGCTGACCACAATATACTGCTGCTGACCACGTTATTATCCTGTTGACCACAAAATTATGCTGGTGACCACGTTATTCTGCTGCTGACCATGCTATTATCTTGCTGGCCACATTATTATTCTGCTGACCACTATATTATCCTGCTGACCATGATATTCTGCTGCTTATCACATTATTATCCTGCTGACCACGTTATTCTGTTGCTGACCACGATATAATGCTGCTGACCACAATGTTATGCTGCTGACCACATTATTATCCTGCTGACCACGATACTCTGCTGCTGACCAGGATATTCTGCTGCTGACCACGTTAATATCCTGCTGCTGACTACAATATTATCCTTCTGACCACGATATTCTGCTGCTGACCACGTTATTCTGCTGCCGACCACATTATTATCCTGCTGACCACAATATTATGCTGCTGACCATGATATTATCCTGCTGACCACGTTATTATCCTGCTGACTACAATATTCTGCTTCTGATCATGATATTCTGCTGCTGACCACGTTAATTTCCTGCTGACCACGATATTATTCTGCTGACACAATATAATCCTGCTGACCACGTTATTATCCTGCTGAGCATGATATTATCCTACTGACCACGTTATTATCCTGCTGACTACAATATTCTGCTTCTGATCACGATATTCTGCTGCTCACCACGTTAATTTCCTGCTGACCATGAAATTATGCTGCTGACCACGTTATTATCCTGCTGAGCATGATATTCTGCTGCTGACCATGTTATTATCCTGTTGACCACGAAAATATGCTGGTGACCACGATATTATTCTGCTGACCACATTATTATCTTGCTGAGCACTATATTATGCTGCTGAGTACATTATCATCGTGCTGACCAAGATATTATCCTGTTGACCATGTTATTATCCTACTGACCATGATATTATGCTTCTGACCACGATATTATGCTTCTGACCACGATATTATCCTGCTGATCATGATATTATGCAGCTGACAATGATATTATGCTGCTGACCACATTATAATCCTGCTGCCCAGGATATTCTGCTGCTGATCACAATATTATGGTGTCCTCATGTGCCACAAAAATTAGGGTGTCCATGTGTGCCTGCTCCCCAGTCCCATGCCCCCGTCAACTAAGCTCCCTGGTATACCTTTCTATCTTCCAGCTTTTTTCCTTTTCTGCCTGTCTTGATCTATCTTAGATAGTATCTTCTTCTTTTCCTTCTCCGGTCCAATATTTCTGTACTTTCTATAAACTATACTTTCTATAAACTGCAATAATGACCTTGGAGGATTAATTCCACCTCTAGTGGCTGTCTACCAGACAGCTAAGAGAGGGACTTCCGGGTCTTAGGCGACATTTGGTCATCTAACTGAGGCTGGGTGTACTCATGATATGCATTGAGATGTCCAGTGTCACCCAAAACCCCACCAGAAAGCATTGAATAATGCTATCCAACTGGAGAAGTCCTAATGGCTGAGCATTTGGCCTCCCCTACCAGTTGACTTTGGGGGGAGAGGAGTGGAGGCAAAGCCTGAAACAATGCCGAAGGACATCATCACTGGAATCAGGTAAGTGACAGAGGTTTTTTTTTAACCTATTCTATATTACATGGGGGGAGGGAGGGGACTATAGGGAGACATAGTGCCAGGAATGCAACTCTGTTTAACGTGAAGTTGGGTTCCAGAGATCACCAGATTGTCAGCACAGCCTGTGTATCTCACGCTCCATTCATGCCAAGAAATGAAATTGTGCCTTATACGTCTCATAGTACTGAAAGAGGTCAAATGTAAAACAAGAATGCAAAGTGGTTGGCAGTTGCACAATATCTGAGGATTTCAGGGAATTTTGGAACCGGCGGGAAGCATTGTCAGGGCACACAGGAGCATAAAGTCCAGACAGTTTGTTTTATGCATTATGACTAAGGTTATCACGGTCTTATCATTGAACCCTCTCAAGTTCAAATAGCAATTTGTTTTGTTACATCAGAGAGAATCTGAAATCTGGCCAGGCTCCACCACTATTCATATCTCCTGTTGTTGAGATAAATTATTGTTTTCCGACTGTGACACGTTCCAGAAAATTTAGCATTTTATAAATCTGATATACGAACACAAAAAATATCAACTTTTCATAACAATTCCTTTTTATTTCTTGCTCACTGGTATTATATAAAATGCTCAGATTACAGCCCATTCTAATAATATCAACAATTGTAGATTATGCTAGCTTTAGTGTAACTATAATCTTAATTTTATAACATGACAGGAGGCGAATATTTGCTTAAGTCTCTCTTTACTAGAACTCCATAGCAGCACATTAACACAGAGAGTAAACAACCAATCAGAAAAAGAGTTCGGTACTATAAAACTCCCCTCCTCACATAACTTCCTCTTTCAAGCTGCAACAAAACAGAACAAAAGGCAGAAAAACTATGTTAAGAAAAATGAAGTCCTAGGATATAATGAATGCAACGACGTCATCCATCCAAGAAGAAAAGTCAAACATGGCACCAAGGACGGACTGTAAACTGAAACGAGAGAAACAGTAACGAAAGGACTGGTTAGATGATGAAATATACTCTGAAAAAACATGCAGGCGCCCAGTGCCACAACGAGAATTACCGTAATATACACAGATCCCTACCCTTTATGTAAGAAGCGGGAACATGAACAAGTGACAGGAAGCAGAGACAACAAGCAAAGTTGTATATACTCCTGATATAACCACAAACTTAGACAAAACAACCAAACAAGGGAGGGATGAAAACTGGGAGGGAAATATTCGCCTCCTGTCATTAATAAAATTAAGATTATAGATACACTAAAGCTAGCATAATCTACAATTTTATAACATGACAGGAGGCTTCATATTTGCTGTTTTAATGCTCAGCCAACAAATCAAATGATGCTTGTGTCGTTGATAAATAATACTGGAGATAAAGAAATAAGTCCCGAATGGACCCTTCAACCACTAGATGTGACAGTAGATTGCTCAAAGAAGATGCCGGTCATTGGTGATCCTCCAAGTGCGGACAAAACCCAAAATACTGTTAGATACGTTGTACTTGGGGAGCTGTGATCTGGTTCCGTCAAGGCGGTCGATGTACTGAAATGCCGACATGTTGACCATTTTCAGCCAGACGCAATACACCCTGTTCCAAATTATTATGCAAATTATATTTTTCTCATTTACCTAAATAATTGATGTAAATAACAGTCAGCATAATTCTCATGTTATCAACTATTAAGAGTATAATTCAAATTTTATTGAACAAACCTCCTAATGATAACAGTATTTTTTTTAAATATAAAAAACTTACAATGCACTGTTCAAAATTATTACGCACAGTAAGTTTCAAAACACTCTATAGGTTGTAAAGAACTGAAAATTGTAATTTGTTGTGCTTGCAGCATATTTACTGAA